GAGCTTTGTTTTTTTTTAGTTGGAGGCACTTTGTAGCTCTTTCTAGGCTTAAAGAGACACTATAGTCACCAAAACAACTTTACCTTAACGAAGCAGTTTTGTTGTATAGATCATGCCCCTGCAGGCTCACTGCTCAATTCTCTGCCATTTAGGAGTTAAATCACTTTGTTTATGAACCCTAGTCACACCTCCCTGCATGTGACTTGCACAGCCTTCCTAAAACTTCCTGTAAAGAGTCATCCAAAGTTTATCCTTCCTTTATTGCAAGTTGTTTAATTTCAATTTTCTTATTCCCTGCTATGTTAATAGCTTGCTAGACCCTGCAAGAGCATCCTGTATGTGATTAAAGTTAAATTTACAGAGCAACAGATACAATTGTTTAAGGTAAATTACATCTGATTGAACGTTAAACCAGTTTTTTTTCATGCAGGCTGTCAATCATCGCAAGGGGAGGTGTGGCAAGGGCTGCATAAACAGAAATAAAGTGATTTAACTCCTATAAGGCAGTGAATTGAGCTGTAACACCAGAGAGGCATGATCTATACACTAAAACCGCTTCAGTGAGCTAAATTTGTTTAGGTGACTATAGTGTTCATTTAAGGGAAAGCTACTAAAAGGGTAACGAAACAGGTGTTCCCAGTGGGAACTAAATTGTTTGGAGTGACACAGAGTTGAAACAGATTAAAGAAAAATAAGTCCCAATAAAAATAGTGTGAGAAAAATAAAGTGTAAAGAGAAGCATACTAGATTCGACTATACCTACGCATACCAATGATAGGGTACTAAAAATTACCTTTATTGAATTGCTTGGAGTACAATGTATGGTATGTATACTAAATGCAACAATTACAAATTGTTAAAAGAGGGGGGTGGTGTCAAACAAAGGGGGGACAATTACTCTCAGGAAGTACCACAGAAGTCCTCACAAATACTTATGAAGACTTAAAATGTGGTTTTCCCAGAATTACTTGTAGTCTCTCTACTAAGGATGATACAGAGAAATCTGTGTATATATGCCCACAAGGGCTTGATGCTTCTAAATGAACAGAAAATATTTTTACAGATCTACCTCTAGAGAACAATATGTGTTCTCTAAATGAAGCAATAAACTGTAGCCTATATAGTGATTCAATAACGTAGAGATGAACTCAAATATACACAGATGGGCTATCAGTAGAAACAAAAAATGCTTCTATGTAATAAAGTATCAGACTAACGCCTGTGTAGTCATGCGGTCCCACCTGTTACTAGAGGTCTGACTGTTATAGTCTGGATACTGCCCGGAATGGAAACAGTATCCCTACAGGGCTATCTCAGGGCAGTAAAGTTTAGTGGGGTTGACTTCAAAGTACACGGGCAAAAAAATCTGCAAACTTCAGACTATTATTCTCCAGTGTACTTAAAAAGTATCAAACTAACATTAACCCCTTAAGGACCAAACTTCTGGAATAAAAGGGAATCATGACATGTCACACATGTCATGTGTCCTTAAGGGGTTAAATACTGCCTGTCAATGTTGATCTAGCTGATACTAATTGCAAACTGTCAAAAGCAGCGTACACTGCTAAATATGAGAATAGAGGCGTATAACAATCTCCCACCCGGACTCCCTTGAGAGTTCCTCTTAAGGAGTAATCGTAGCCCCAAAAGAAGCAGGTAAGTAATAAAGTGCTCCTTGAACTCCCTCAAAAGACTAAGCAGAAAAATTACTTCCAATAGACATAAGTAGATAGGGAGTCTAAATGCAACCTGCAATGGTGGGACCGAGGTCCGGGCGGTAGCCGCAAAGCTTAACTGTCTAAAGTCACCACAAGACAACCACCCCTCTCAAATTAAAATTAAATTACACTAATACCCATCACCAAGAATAAGCCCAAAGTAACAAAAATTCTGAATAAGCGTTAAAAACGCCCGATGCGCGTTTCGGCACTTTAGTATTGGGCCTTCGTCTCGGGCTAATAGGAGACCATCTCTCTAATTTCCATTTTTATAGGTTCCCGCCAGAACCTTAGACACAGCCCCCAATAGGGAGAATATCCAATCTCTGTAAACTGGGCATGTTAAGGGTAATTATTTCTTACGATCACCTTGTAATGAATATATTATGTTATATGTATCCAAATGTATGAATCTGTAATAACTATGTTTAGTTGAACTGATAAACATCCCTAGACTCTTACAAAAAGAAGAGTAAAGAAATCCCCCTACCTCCTTCCTATATGTATATGGGGATATTTTAAAGGATGTGAACGATGTTCATATGGCACTTTCATCCAACATAAAGTATTAACACCAGTGTACTGGCATTATATTATAATAACCAGATAATACAGTACAATATACACACTACTCAAGATAATAACTGTAGTGAGATGTATACAGATACTTAACTTAATTATTACAGCCTCCCAAGATCGTTACCCAGAGAAAACGACCTATTAACATAGATAACCACAAGCAACACAGAACTTCGGGATACGGCTGGACAGTTAATCTAAAAGGAACACAAAAAATATACACAAAATAGTGAAGTACAATTAACACATGGTTTTCCGCTGAATACAAATGCACTCACAGAATGAAGTAGAATATATCGCTCATAGGGTGCCTCCCCTAGTGGAATGGGGGGTTGGTAATCCCTTGGCTCCTTCTTAGGCTTCCTTAATGATGCTCAGGACTCCAAACAGGTAATGGTAGAAAAAAGATGTATTTATTGATAAAAGGTGAGTATTCACCATCAGTATAAAGTATAATAAAAAACGGTATGGTCCTACGCGTTTCGTTCTGCAAAGAACTTCATCAGGGACCGTATATAAAGAATAAAATCAATATACAATTACAGTATATAAAAAAAAATCCTATTCCCCCCATCCCTGTGTCCTCTTTAAATAGGGCTAATCCCCATGTTCATTGGTGGTTCCGTGGGTGGTATCCAGTATCTGCTATTCAATTGGTTCTGGGAAGGAGCTGTTCAGCTGTTTTTCATCCTCCCTGTGTTACTGTAATCAATTTTGGCGCGTTCGGGCGACCGGAACCGGAAGTGGGAAATGAATCGCACTTCCGCGTTCCACTTGCGTTCCACATGCGTTCCACCCGCGGCTAAAATGCGTTCCACCTTCATTGTGTCTCAATGTAAATATATGATCAGAAAAAAAACAATAAAAATACAATATATTCTATCTGCTGAAGAAAAAAGCAATATTAGTAACCTTATTTACTTAATATAATCAATCACCATTAGGTTATTATGATTAAACCGTATCACACTGTATTTCTTAAAGTGAAAGGTGCGTTCAAAGTGCACAATATATATAATACATGTACTCCTATTATCAACAAAAACATTATATTTCAAGTGTACCATGCATGATTAAACTATATGATATATATCAATATCCATTAATTATTAGTAAATGGTTCATGCCATAAGAATTTTTTAAAGAATAACATAACATAAAAAATATATATAAAAATTATAAAAAAAGAGCTAAATTTTATAGTGTTCCTATAGAAAATCTCCAATATTAAGTGGAGTTACACATATATCTAATATCCCAAGTGGTTGTGTTTTGCCCATTGATTAATAAATGTATACAGGACAATTTAGCCATATATTTACTTTTATATAACCCATATGGAGGACGGAAGGTTGTATTTTAGTCAGAATCAACATCATTCATAGAATAATGATGTATAAGAAAATGAATGTATGTATAAATAAAAATCAATTTTGGATTCTAATCCAAAAAACAAACTAAATCAATACCAATATTGAGGCCCCTCGGTTCCAGAGTATTTAACCGATGTATCCAGAAAGTCTCCCTTTGGGATAGTTTCTGGATTCTATCACCCCCTCGCCAGAATGGAAAAACTCTTTCAATGCCCATAAAGATAAAATCCCGAAAAGTAAATAATGGGCAATTAGAACAATGGGCCGAAACTGAATGAGTTTGGAGTTTCTTCTTGATGTTATTCAGATGTTCAAGTATTCTGACCTTTAGAATCCTCTTTGTACGCCCCACATATTGTTTGCCACAGGGACACTGTAGTAAATAAACCACATAGTCCGAGTGGCAACTAATTTCAGATTTCACCTTGAATGTTTCCCCTGTGACGTTACTATGGAACAACTGTATTTTGGACAATGATGTAGTAATACAGGCCTTACAGATTCCACAGCCTCTAAAAAAACCAATAGTAGGAGAAGAGTGGATATTAGGAGGTTTAATAGCGTAGCTAGGAGCCAGTAGATTCTTAAGATTCTTATTCTTTTTATAGATCACCATAGGGCGATCCGATAAAGACTCTCCCAAAACTGGGTCCTGGAGTAAAATGGGCCAGAAATCCTGCAAACTTTTTTTGATTTTATGATGATCGGTATTGTATTGAGTTATAAAAGATGATTTAAAGTTTTTATTATTTTCATTTGTACTGCCCTTGTCTTCTAATAATGAACTACGTTGTACCGAGCTGATGAAACGGATTTCTTTGTCCAAAGCATTTCTTTTATAACCTCTATCCATAAGCTTTTTCTTAATATATAGTGATTGGGTCCTAAAATCCTGAGGATTAGAGCAATTACGTCTAACACGTGTAAACTGACTTCTAGCTATGCCCCGTAACCACGGTTTGTGGTGACAGCTACGTTGGTGTACGTAGCCGTTACCATCTGTGGGTTTGAAGAAACATTTGGTCTGTATTTGTTCTTGATCACAGAAAAGGACCAGGTCCAAAAAATGAATTTCATATTTATTCCATACTGGAGTAAAGACCAGATTGTACTGGTTGCAGTTAAGGTATTGAACAAACTCCTGAAAAGCAACCGAAGATCCCTTCCAAATAATAATAACATGGATGGATTAAATGGTCACCAAGAGACATCTAATAGAGTACCAACTAATCCTCATCTATCTAGAAACAAGTCCCCTGAAAGGACACATAATTTAAGATCATATGCCCAAGCTACAAGGGATACAACAGAGACCCAAGGAAAAAATACACAGTATAATGACCGAGAAATAAATTTTCAGGGGAGACCACGGGGTCCAAAAGAAAAAACTATCACCAACTATTTCCGCCCAAGGATGGAAACTTGGGAACATACCAATCGATTTGCCCCTCTATATCAGAACTCACCCACGAAAAGAGTAAGAACAGAGGATTAGCTACACCATCCCAGGTTGTCTATCCTTTGGTACAAAGGGAAATAGATAGAGGTATTTTTAATTTAACCAATACCCCCCTGACAGATGATGAAATTAATTTATTGTCTAAAGGAATGAAGTTTGCTCCTAGTAAAACCTGTAATGATTTTAACCTCTTTATAGATTTAAAGAAATTTATTCGTTCACTAACTATTAAAAGACATTTTCTCTTAAACCCACCACCTTCGGATGACACCGTGAATGTTTCAACCACCCCTTTTAATTATAATTTTCAACGTAAATCACATTTTTTTCCTATACAAAGCAAAGGTCCGTTTTTAGAGACATTTGAACATATGGTGAATCAAACGTTCCAGCCTTTTAGTACAAATGATAAGAAAAGATCCCGAGCCTCTAATTTTACCAAAAGAGAGGAAGAAACTTTAAAAAATTTAATGGATCGTGATGATCTAATAATTAGGGAGGCGGATAAGGGTGGTGGCATCGTTTTGATGACCACCTCCTATTATCTAGAAGAATCGGCTAATATATTGGGGGACAAAAATACTTATACCACTCTAGCCAATGACCCAACGTCACGTTTTAATATGGAACTGGGGATCCTTCTAGATCAGGCATATAACAGTGGGATTATTACTCAAAAAAATTTAGACTTTTTATTTCAAAAAAACCCTGTTATACCGATTTTTTATTTTCTTCCTAAAACACACAAACGCCTCCCTAATCCACCAGGGCGTCCTATTATTAGCGGTGTAAATTCACTAACAGCTAATCTATCCGCCTACGTTGATTCCTTTCTGCAGAAATACGCACAGGGAGCGCCCTCCTATGTGCGCGATACAAAATCTTTTTTACAAGAACTGGAGTGTATTGAATGGAAATCGGAATACAGTTGGGCCACACTAGATGTGACCTCTCTGTATACTGTGATCAGTCATCACTTAGGGTTGGAGTCCATTGATTATTATATGTCCAAAGATAATACATTATCTGCAGGTCATAGAGAGTTTATTTTTTCTTCAGTTCAATTTATTTTGGATCACAATTATTTTTTCTTTAATGGTGATTATTATTTACAAACCACTGGGACCGCCATGGGTACCAGGTTCGCCCCCAGCTATGCCAACACCTACATGAGAAGATGGGAAGAACTTTTTGTGTGGTCTGGGCATGGCTGGAGGGAGAGCCTGGTCCTATGGCGGCGGTATATCGATGATGTTATTATTATTTGGAAGGGATCTTCGGTTGTTTTTCAGGAGTTTGTTCAATACCTTAACTGCAACCAGTACAATCTGGTCTTTACTCCAGTATGGAATAAATATGAAATTCATTTTTTGGACCTGGTCCTTTTCTGTGATCAAGAACAAATACAGACCAAATGTTTCTTCAAACCCACAGATGGTAACGGCTACGTACACCAACGTAGCTGTCACCACAAACCGTGGTTACGGGGCATAGCTAGAAGTCAGTTTACACGTGTTAGACGTAATTGCTCTAATCCTCAGGATTTTAGGACCCAATCACTATATATTAAGAAAAAGCTTATGGATAGAGGTTATAAAAGAAATGCTTTGGACAAAGAAATCCGTTTCATCAGCTCGGTACAACGTAGTTCATTATTAGAAGACAAGGGCAGTACAAATGAAAATAATAAAAACTTTAAATCATCTTTTATAACTCAATACAATACCGATCATCATAAAATCAAAAAAAGTTTGCAGGATTTCTGGCCCATTTTACTCCAGGACCCAGTTTTGGGAGAGTCTTTATCGGATCGCCCTATGGTGATCTATAAAAAGAATAAGAATCTTAAGAATCTACTGGCTCCTAGCTACGCTATTAAACCTCCTAATATCCACTCTTCTCCTACTATTGGTTTTTTTAGAGGCTGTGGAATCTGTAAGGCCTGTATTACTACATCATTGTCCAAAATACAGTTGTTCCATAGTAACGTCACAGGGGAAACATTCAAGGTGAAATCTGAAATTAGTTGCCACTCGGACTATGTGGTTTATTTACTACAGTGTCCCTGTGGCAAACAATATGTGGGGCGTACAAAGAGGATTCTAAAGGTCAGAATACTTGAACATCTGAATAACATCAAGAAGAAACTCCAAACTCATTCAGTTTCGGCCCATTGTTCTAATTGCCCATTATTTACTTTTCGGGATTTTATCTTTATGGGCATTGAAAGAGTTTTTCCATTCTGGCGAGGGGGTGATAGAATCCAGAAACTATCCCAAAGGGAGACTTTCTGGATACATCGGTTAAATACTCTGGAACCGAGGGGCCTCAATATTGGTATTGATTTAGTTTGTTTTTTGGATTAGAATCCAAAATTGATTTTTATTTATACATACATTCATTTTCTTATACATCATTATTCTATGAATGATGTTGATTCTGACTAAAATACAACCTTCCGTCCTCCATATGGGTTATATAAAAGTAAATATATGGCTAAATTGTCCTGTATACATTTATTAATCAATGGGCAAAACACAACCACTTGGGATATTAGATATATGTGTAACTCCACTTAATATTGGAGATTTTCTATAGGAACACTATAAAATTTAGCTCTTTTTTTATAATTTTTATATATATTTTTTATGTTATGTTATTCTTTAAAAAATTCTTATGGCATGAACCATTTACTAATAATTAATGGATATTGATATATATCATATAGTTTAATCATGCATGGTACACTTGAAATATAATGTTTTTGTTGATAATAGGAGTACATGTATTATATATATTGTGCACTTTGAACGCACCTTTCACTTTAAGAAATACAGTGTGATACGGTTTAATCATAATAACCTAATGGTGATTGATTATATTAAGTAAATAAGGTTACTAATATTGCTTTTTTCTTCAGCAGATAGAATATATTGTATTTTTATTGTTTTTTTTCTGATCATATATTTACATTGAGACACAATGAAGGTGGAACGCATTTTAGCCGCGGGTGGAACGCATGTGGAACGCAAGTGGAACGCGGAAGTGCGATTCATTTCCCACTTCCGGTTCCGGTCGCCCGAACGCGCCAAAATTGATTACAGTAACACAGGGAGGATGAAAAACAGCTGAACAGCTCCTTCCCAGAACCAATTGAATAGCAGATACTGGATACCACCCACGGAACCACCAATGAACATGGGGATTAGCCCTATTTAAAGAGGACACAGGGATGGGGGGAATAGGATTTTTTTTTATATACTGTAATTGTATATTGATTTTATTCTTTATATACGGTCCCTGATGAAGTTCTTTGCAGAACGAAACGCGTAGGACCATACCGTTTTTTATTATACTTTATACTGATGGTGAATACTCACCTTTTATCAATAAATACATCTTTTTTCTACCATTACCTGTTTGGAGTCCTGAGCATCATTAAGGAAGCCTAAGAAGGAGCCAAGGGATTACCAACCCCCCATTCCACTAGGGGAGGCACCCTATGAGCGATATATTCTACTTCATTCTGTGAGTGCATTTGTATTCAGCGGAAAACCATGTGTTAATTGTACTTCACTATTTTGTGTATATTTTTTGTGTTCCTTTTAGATTAACTGTCCAGCCGTATCCCGAAGTTCTGTGTTGCTTGTGGTTATTATAATAACCATACTGTTGTCTCTGAACGATGTTCATATGGCACTTTCATCCAACATAAAGTGTGATGTTCATATAGCACTTTCATCCAACATAAAGTATTAATACCGGTGTACCAGTATTATATTATAATACTCATACTGTTGTCTCTGAATAGTGATGTTGCGAACCGTCCGCGAATTTGCTGCGAACGGTTCACTACGAACCGTTCGCCACGGTTCGCCACGAACCGTTCGTGGCGAACTCCGGTCAGCTGACACATCCCTGCCAATCTCCGGCAGACCCTCCCTCCGAGACCCTCCTACTTCCTGGACAGCATCCATGTTGAAGGCAGCTTCAACATGGATGCTGTCCAGGAGGTGGGAGGGTCTGCCGGAGATTGGCAGGGATGTGTCAGCTGACCGGAGTTCGCGGACGGTTCGCGACATCACTATCTCTGAACAGGAGAATATTTGTTCATCCAGTGTAAATAAATAACTTAGAATTATACAATGCTATTATTGTGATCCAAAATAAGAATTAAAATAAAAATAATAATGAGGAACCCCTCTAAGATACGGGGTGAGAGAGAGATGACTTAAAAATGGAACTACATTAATTAAATTAAATTAAATCCTTGATCTATTCAACTAATCATATAAAAAGATGGAATAGTAGACTAATTGGATAAAAGTTATGTTTAATTGGTATGACAAGTCGTAGTTATATGTCACTCCCAGTGGGAACACCTGTTTCGTTACTCTATACACAGGGTTAGGCCCTTTAATTTGGAGGACATTAGCCTTTCTATAATCTGTTTAAAGCTACTAAAGGCTCTGGTGAATTGCTCCATTCTAGAAATGTATTTATTATATTTCATTGTATTTCTTATTGACCCTGTATGAAGTCCTCTCTCCTTTTATACAGCTTTAATATATTCCCCCTTATTATTATTATTTATATAGCGCCAATAAATTCTGCAGCACTGTACAATGGGTGGATTAACAAACATGTACTTGGTACCAAACTACTATCAAATTAAAAAAATAAATAGATTGTATATCCTTGTTAGAACTTCATCTAAAGATCTTATATAGATGGTATCAGGTCCCTTCAAAACTACACAAAATCTATGAAGCCTATTCGCTTCTATGTTGGCGATGTCAGAAAGAGATTGGCACAATATTCCATATATGGTATACATGTCCGATACTAAACGATACAGAGACATTTATAGTATCCCTGATAGCTGATTTAATTCATGAAACTATTATACTTACACCTTCCCTTTTATTAGTTAATTTAGATTTCCCAATAATGGAGAAAAAACACAATTACCTAATCACAAATATACTTTATGCCCTTAAAATATCTATAGCTCGTAACTGGAAATCTAGTCTACTCCAGCCTGTCAAGAAATTATAAACCTGATAGATTATCAGTACACAATGGAATGTAACTTTATTTCTACTTATGGAAAATGTATTTCCTGGGGCAGACTAGATGGGCCGAATGGTTCTTATCTGCCGTCACATTCTACGTTTCTATGTTTCTATGAATACTGGCAACCTTGGGCGGTCTACAGAAACAATATAAACTAGTTTGTCATAGGGATGGGACATTGGGACAGGTAAACCAGGGGTGTTTCACTCT